ATTAATTTGGTGCTGGCCTTACACAGGAAGGCATTCATCAAAATGCGAACAGCAAAAAAACATCAGTGCACAACAGGCAAAGAAGCACCTGAAAACATTAAATCAGCAATAGAACTTATTATGGAGACTGAGATCCATGGTTGGTTCAATATTTTATTCACTCAGAGAAATGGGTGAAATAAATAGAGGGGGGTGATTGTTGTCACAGTAACTACTGTAATCGTCTTCACTGCTATAACATCTGAACACACAATGCATTTACATTAATCACGTTCAGTTAAATACATTAGCTAGCGCCAAAAAATGGCATACTGTATTACATAGCTTACATTAATGTGGTTCTGGTTTCAGTAATATGTCATTTGTAAGTGAAGTTTTAAAGATAAAAGCTTTAACAAAAGATTTTTTTCTCCCAATGGCACGAGAAAAGTGTAGCTTTTCTGTACAAATCACCTTCAGCGTGATCGACGAGGTCAAGTAGAAAATAACGAGTGTTACAAATCAAAGCCAGAATAAAAACATAACATCAAACATATATATGTATATATATAAAAAAAAAACATTGTACAATAAGTTGTGTACTGACATCATAAAAAAGATTTTTCCAGTGTTGTATTGCTTTGCCTTTGGTATTGATAAAGAAGGAGTGCAGATCCGTCACTCTGAGTGTTTTGTTTACCTCTGAAAAAATTGTTAGAACTGCATGAAAACAAATGTGGGAGCTTTTCTGAGCATCGTTTTAGTGTACCGGCGCTTATGTGGAATAAAATATAAACCTAATTGTTTTCTTAGTGTTCATATTGTTACATGGTTTCTGTTGATATTTTGAATTACATTGGGGGTTTTTAGTGTTAGACTATTTCCTACACTCTGGACTGTTCCCTGACATTTTTATTACTTTTATTTTACAGTGCACATATGATAAATAATGTGTTGCCACAAGTTAAGATGTGTTTTTAAAGGTAGCTTATACATTTTATTAATTTCACAACCATAAGATTGATCAGGAGCAAAATGCTGTTTCTTTACTTCAATGCTATCATCTCACTTTTTCCTTTTATTTTATCATTACAAAAAAAATGAGTAACCCTGCATTACAATTTTAAATAAATTTTTTTGAGATATTGCTTTGGATGTGAAATTTGAAATGGATGTGAATCTGGAACTCCCTGATGGTCATCTTAATTCCTGAGAAACCTTTTG